CCTCGTCCCGTCGGCCTGAGCGCCCTCCCCCCCCTCCCGTGTCCTCCCGTGGGTGCAGAGAGAGCCCCCATGCTGCGTCAATCACCAGGATGATGTTTCTCTCCTCTTTGTGCGGACACCCCCAAAACCCAGAGGATCCCCCAGTTATCGACACAGGCTCCCAGAACCTCACTGCTGGCTCCAGAACCCAGTGCCCGGCTGCAATGGCACCGTGCTTCTGGCTAATCCTCTGGGATCCCCCTAGAACACACAGTCTGCACTGCGCCTTCCCCAGCGAACCCCTCCCAGGGTGGAGAGGGACCACACCAACCCCCCTGCTGCATCACTTTGTACCTTGTGCTAACGCAGACACCACACCCTGCACTGGTGCCTCTAATGGACCCCCTTGGTCGGGCCATCGCCAGGGACTGTCCCCACAACTTCTAGCTCCAAAGCACTGGCCTCGACCCCTTGAACTCAGCCCATCACCCGAACAACAGCCCATCACAGCAGCAGCAGGCAACTCTCCTGTGTCACAGGCACACACGGCCCTTCCATCCCTGGGCAGCATCACGCCGCGTGGCCAGGATCAGTCATCCAACACGCGGCACCCCCAGCAGCACGACGTTCCCAACCTAGCCCCACGGTGGCTGCAGCTTCACCAGCAACTCACAGCCCAGGGCAGGTCAGCAGAAGAGTGCTCTGGGGTCCCCTGTGGGGGAAATACACACTGGGGACCAGCGAACGAGACTCTCCTTCAAGAGTCACCAGAACCACGGCTGCCCTGCTTCAATGGAGACCTAACCCGAGTGGCTGCATAGGTAGCCTCTACAGCCAGATAGACGCAGCAAGAGAAATGAATGCAAAGTGAATGTTACCATTCCACGTGCAAGGGCTTCCGTAATTGATGAAGCCCGTCTCTTCGCTGACGGGGTTGCTGACGATGCATTTGTAAGATGCGTTACTTTCTAACTTAAATAGATCATCCAGTGTGCTGCTATTTTTGCCCACTAAATCCTTTTCATTCTTGCGCCAGCGGTAGGTCACTTGGGTGGCATTCACAATGCACGCCAGGGTGACACTGCACCATCCATCTTCGTTGACCCTGGAAATGAACTTCACACTGGGCTTAGGGATGGGCTCTGGAAATAGAGAAAAGAGAAATTCAACAACAGGCCAAACCCTGACAGATCTAACCCTGCGCCAGATCCTCAGATGATGTAAACTGGTGGGGCTCCAATGAAAGTGATTTATACCAACTGGGGGTGTTGCCTATATAGATTTTATACAGAAGGGTCTATTAACTAGACAAATTCAGACTGCAAATAAGGCGTAAAGTTTTAACGATGAGAGTAATTGACCATTGGAACAATTTACCAAGGGGCGTGGTGCATTCTCCATCACTGACCATTTTAAAATCAAGATGGGACGTTGTTCTAGAAGATCGGCTCTAGGAATTGTTTTGGGGCAGGGCTCCGGCCTGTGTTACCAGGAGGTCAGGCTACATGACCACAATGGTTCCTTCTGGCCTTGGAATCTATGAATGATGCTCATCTAGTCGGACTTCCTGTGTAATGCAGATCAGACAATTTTACCCAATGGCGCCTGCTTCCAGCCCATTGACCTGTGGCTGGATGAGAGCGTATCGTTTAGAAAGAGGGTCCAACCATGATGTGGAGACTTCAAGTGATGGAGAATCCACCATATGCCTTGGTGAGCTGTGTCAGTGGTTCATTTCCATTCCCGTTAAACACAAACACAAAATGAGATGAAACTTTCTTCTAGCTTCAACTTTCAGCCAGTGAATTTTGTTCTATCTTTATCTGCTAGACCAGGGGTCGGCAACCTTTCAGAAGTGGGGTGCCGAGTCTTCATTTATTCACTCTAATTTAAGGTTTCGTGTGCCAGTCATACATTTTAACGTTTTTAGAAGGTCTCTTTCTATAAGTCTATAATATAGAACTAAACTACTGTTGTATGTAAAGTAAATAAGGTTTTTAAAATGTTTAAGAAGCTTCATTTAAAATTAAATTAAAATGCAGATCTTATCAGTTTAGTGTGCCCTTGCTTTTCCTTGCTGAGTTTTCCCCTCTTGCCCCTGTCTGCACCCCTCACTGCCCCAGGCTGGGGCCAGTGGGCCATAGCTGGGGGCGGCTGCAGAGCGCTGGGCCGAGGTCAGGAGCAGAGCCCCGGGCTGGCTGCCGGTAACCCAGGCTAACAGCAGGCTGAGTGGAGGCCCAGACCCCAGCTGGCAGGGGGCCAGCGGCCGGAACCCCAGACTGGCAGCGAGATGAGCGGAGCCGGCAGCCGGAACCCCAGACCAGCAGCGGGCTGAGCGGGGCTGATGGACGGAACCCCAGATGGCAGCAGAGTGCCACTGAAAATCAGCTCGCTTGCCACAGGTTGCCAACCCCAGTGCTAGATTGATAAGAGAGGGCTCTTCAGAGATCTTCCCTGTGTGCTAGTACTGCTTTGAGAGCGAGTCACCTTTTAACCTTCCCTTTGATAAGCTAACTAGAATAAGCTCATTAAAAAGTTTCCCATTGGAGAGCCTGTTTTCCAGATGTCATCGTTTTCCTTCAGCATTTTGGGGGTCATAAAATTCAGCCCTCGTTTGGATCATATACTGTACATGAGATCAACAGTACCAAATTCCCTGTGTATCCCTCCTGATCCTGTCTACCCACCTCCTCACCTAGCAGAGTGCATGTGACCCTGGGCTCTGTCTGGGTGTTTAGCCTCCATCACCCCAGGACCTCTCAGGACTCAGTGACCATATCCTCACGCCCTGAAGAACAGAGAGACCCCTGGCCAAGGCCTTAAGCCAAGATTTTGAAACATGACTAGTGACTGTGTGTGTCCTTCAATTCTGGATCCCCTGTAGGAGACCGATTTTCAGAGCTCAGATGCTCAGCACTTTCTGAAAATCAGGTCCCTTTAAAGTGTGCCCAGAAAATGGGGCATCCCAAATCCTTAGTCAT